TACCAAATTTTTTTTTTTTTTCACCCCTTTGTTTTTTTTTTTTTTTTTTTTTTTTTTTTTTTTTTTTTTTTTTACAGAAAAACACATTTCTAACTTCACAGAATTTGTTCTTTGTTTCTCTTTATTTTATTCTTATTGATTTGGACCACATGAAAAGTTAGCATCACAGCTGACATCCCAGACACACTGTCCAGCACGTCCTCTTTCTGTACATTCAAATGGATTCTTTTTGAGATGATAAGTTTAACTGATGAAGACAGCTGTGTTGAGGTAGCACACTTAGATTTCTCTGTGGCTTTAGACTCAGTATAACACAACATACCTTTCTAAAAATATCAATATTGTAACAGATGTATATGGCCCATAATGAACTGAAACCTGGCTAACTGACTGATCTCCAAATGCAATTGTTAACCGAAAATTATCAATATGTATGGTTGTTTTGAGTAAGGACTCACAGGAACAAATCATCATCCAATGCCAATCAGAACTTTTATGAGTAATCTATTAGAAAATAAGTATAATCATTTTCTTAGGCCTGTAGCTTTTAAGAAAACGGACATTATAGAAAATCTGGTCTGCTCTCCTGTATAACACAGGTCATAGCTTTTTATTCACTCACACAGCAGACAGCAGAAAGAATCAAGCACCAGCAAGTCATCTATAAAGATCTGTCTTCCCTTGGCAAGCTTGGCATAAGTATAAATTTTAATACAACTAAATCAAGGTTGTAGATCACAGAACTAGGAAGGTTGACTATTTCCTGGAAAACAGTGACTCTGAAAGACTTGTGGTCCTTCTGGATAATGAGCTGAATATGAACTAATACTGTGATGCTGAAGATAGAAAACTAATATTAAATTTAGGCTGTAAACAGACAGCTCATCTGAGGCAGTCTTGATTGTGTCAAGATTTCGATGCAGCTCAAAACAGTTGAGTGGCACAGCCCTTTACATACACAGCCCTTCCAAGCTTGTATTGTTGTTTCTCTGCCAGGAGGTGGCCTGAGAGAGCCCAAAGCTTGTCCACAGAATGAACGGCAATTAAGTTAAAGAGCTGCAATTAACTTACAGACACAAAATGATGTCCCAGAAAAGTGTTATCATTTTATCCAGCACACTTCACAGGTATTTGAAGCGAGATAATGGATATGAACATATATGGGAACCCGGCACAAAAAGCTTTTCAGGAGGGTCCGTTTACAGCCTTAGAGGTATAAACAATGGAAGTATCACCTCAAAGTAGCAAGATAGTGATATTACCTCCATGTACATCATCTTCTAGACCACCCGCTTGTATAACGTGCCCTGTTTTGAGGTCCACATGTTTAAAAAAGCTGTTGAGAAACTGGAGAAGGTGCAGTAACAAGACATGAGAAAAACCTGATGTCTAGAGAACTCAGAGGGAGTTTCAAGGACCTCAACTTACTAAGCTCAACAAAGAGAAGGTTAGGAGACTTGCACATGGTCTGTAAGTACTTATATAAATTTAAGATTTCTGATGGTGCACACAACTTTAATTTTGTGGAAAGAAAATACAGCGAGAGCCACTGGCTGGAAGTTAAAGCTAGAAAGAAGATAGAAGTTAAAATTAGGTACAAATGTTTTCTAGTAAGAGTAATTATTCTTTGCAAGCATTTATGAAGGGATGTGGTGGCTACTCCCATGTTTAAATCAAGACTGAGTATCTTTCTATAACACACTCTAGTTCAACCACAAGTCAATAGACTCGATTCAAAAACTACTTTGTCAGGTTATGTGGCCTGTATTATAACAAGAGACCAGGCTAGGTGATCCGTCCCAGGTTTAAAATCTATAAATCTCTCTACTGGCTAATCCAGGAGAAAAACACTGAATTCAAGTCCTTGTTAGGCTAGATGTATTAAGGATAAAATACTGAATCAATGCCCTTAAATTTTAGTATTCAAAACCCAGTTCTGTAGAATACCATGTGTTTGAATACCAAACATACCCCAGTGAACAGCTAATGTCAGACTGCAAAGAGTGTCAATAGAAAAACAAGCAGCCTCAAGTCAAAGATACAGCAAAAGTTTGTCTGAAAGACATGACACATGAAAAGAGTTAATGGCTTCCAATTCTGAAAATATAATGCTGCCCAAAAGCCACCAGTGTCATCAATAAACAGTGCACCCAGCAATATAACTGTCCAGAAACATCAGGATGCAGTACTGAATGCCAGGACCTGTTATTTCTGTGGGTGACCTGTTCTGCTGTATTAAATTTCAATGCAGTCCACAGAGTCCTGGCAGCCTGACAATGTAACCCTAGCTTGGGACAAAGTTTGCAGGGTCCTATGTGATGGTAAAGACTAAGGATATTTATTACCAGTGAACATATTCATTAGGTTAGGAACTTAACACCGTCCTCCTTGCAAGTGTAGGCACTGCAGTGACTTACCCTTTCCAGGTCCTGCCGGAGATGTGTGAAGAGTTGTAGCCTCCTGAACAGAACATCCTGCTCCCGCTTGGCTAGATTATCCTCTTCATCTTTCTTTGGGGTTATCAAGGGCTTGTTGAAATTTGCTTTTCTCTTGAGCTTCCAGTACTGGTACATAAACTCCACAGACTCCTCGGGCAGCCGCAGGACCGTGGCCACTTCCAAGAAGTCAACAAATGTGTAGAATTCATCCTCTAGCTGCTGGAGCTTCTGCTTGCGGACGCTGACCCTGTGGGCCTCCTCCTGGTTTGTCTCAATGCTGTGAAAGGGCTCCAGGTGGGTAGGAGGAGAGCTGTCCCGTATCCCATTCTCATTCTCCTGGCTGGTGCTTTCACTGAAGTTTTCATCCTCCGGTTTCTTGGTGGAGCTGTGCTTGGGGCAGTAGGACTTGAACTTGACCTCATCATTCTCCGCCAGGATGGTCTTCATCTCCAAGCCACGGTCAAATGCACAGGTGACATGAAATGCTGTCCGGCAGTTTTTCACTGAACACTATGGAAAAGTTAAAAAAAAAAATGCATTCATTAGAAATAAAAAGCCACACATCATATAAAAATACCAATGCAGCCAGGACTCTTGGGATCAATGCTGTAGAAAAGCAGCTTTGCTACAGCTTGTAACCTTACTGGATCTTTGCTTCTAAGATGTGTACTTTTTCTCTCTTTTAATTAGGTTTACAATTTAATGCTTTCCGTTCAGGCAACTATCAAGTGGCCTAGAGGGACATGAGTGATTAACTCCTCCCAGTTCTATCATGCTATTCAATAACCAGCAAATTCTCACAAGGACTTTCCTTGTGGTGAGTGGAGCTAGTCACTTAAAGCAGTACTGTCAGAAGCAAAACGATCCCCACTTTAGCTGTGCCAGCACTAGAGAGAGAGAGAGAGAAACAGAGAGAGAGGGGGAAAAACCCAGTGGCTCTGAGCCAGTCTGATACTTTAATTAAAGTCTCTCCCAGCACCTGGAACTGCGCAATCCAAATGGCAAGAGCTGGGTGGGAGTCTTCTCTTTTATCATCAGCTTAGTGTCACATTTTAAATTACTAACAATCCCACCTCACTGACTATTGCCCTTAGTTCACATGAGGAACAAAACTTAAATTTGCTGCTTTTGTCATTTTCTAAGACTTCTCCCCTGCAGTGAACCCAGCCATCATGGAGTGATGGGCACTAGTTCAACCAATTTAGCACTTCATTTTAACCATAAATAACTTTCTTTAGTGAAGTGTTGTCGTGGCCATAACCAGCCATAAACTGAGAGTAATATTTAAAAAAATCCCCTATTGATTCACACCCGTGTCCCCAATGAAAAGAAATAAATTAAAAGAGGAAATGAATGTCACTGATATTAACTATGACTGGACTCAACTATACTTAATCCAAGTGATCTAACCTTAAAGAGAAATGCACTGAGCCAGGATATTTATACAGTGCTTTGTACAGAAGCCAAATATCTTTCTCCTCTGGGTTTTCCTGCTCAGGTTGACTCAGCAGCCAGATGTCACATTAATGTATACTAGAGTTTAAAACTACAGAGGTTTCAGATACATTTTCTTTAATAAAATCAATAAATAAAAGAATACAAAAATGGTCAAACCTGCTTTGCCCTTTCCCTTCCTCCAAAGAAATGCTTTGCTGACAAACAGCACCAGCAGCCCAATTGAATTTAAATAATGCTAAAGAAATAATTTTTGTTGTGGGTTCCAGGCCTCTATCACCTCTGATAATTAGCCTGCAGTGTGGATAATGTTTTATTGAGGAGAGAGGAAACCTTGTCTCATCGGAAGGAAATCTGCTGAACTTGGAAGAAAAAGCAGTCTCGTTTTTCCCAGCTTGCTGCAGCTGCTTTCTGCCCATCCCTATGCACACATCCAGCTGCTCGATTTTTAAATCACTGTGAACATCTCATAACATAAAACATCTCTGGAGAGACTGCCTCACTCCCTCAACTCATCTAGTTGATATTATTACTGATTTTATTATAGCAACTCTGTAAAATACTGTTTCTCCCAGCTGTATAAGTCTAATAGCACAAATTTATGTATTTACAAGCCATCAAAAATTCCCTCCTTCACAATCCTCATAATACAAATACCCCACAATATTCCTGGGCAGTGTCACACACAGCTAGGATCAAGAGTATTGCCCCAAATGATGTTCAAAAAATGCCTAAAGTGACAACCATAACCTGCATATTCCCCCCATGTGACTGAATCTTTTTTCAGAAGTGTGTAAAAATAAATAAATACTCTGACGATGAAGCTGCAAAATTACCTGAAAATAAGTATCAGGAGTGAAGACACACTAGTTTGATCACTCCATTATGTAAAAGCTGCCAAGAAGACAAACCTATCTGCAAGAACCTTTTAGCGAAGTTTGTTAAAGTGTTGTGGAGAGATTCCTTCTCTCACTATGTATGGATTAGTAGGCTAATATGTACTATTACATTATATTTCACTGGAACTTCTGCTGAACTGCTGTTTTACAACTCTTTCTGGCAACCCCAGTCACATGACTCAACACACAATGGGACAAGGGAAAGGGTGGCACAATCCAGTGATCTGAACAAAGGGCTATAAGCTAGGGATGTTTCTCCCCCAATCCCAGCACTAGCACCAATACCCATTCTGGCCTTTGGCAATATGCCACAAAACAAGAGTTCAATTTCCTCAGCTTCCTTATTTGTAAAATGGAGATATTAATGTTTTCCTACCTACATCAAAGGGATTCTGCGATAGCCGATTTGTTAAAGAATATAAAAGGCTTTGAAGATACAAAGCACTATGTAAATGTTAAATTCTACTATTCTGGGCTAGTACTTCTGTGCCCACAATCGGCTTACCTACCCTTACTTTCTCCAGCAAAACAAATACATCACTTGTTTCAGAATGCATCAAACACACCTCTAGCCCCGCTCTCTCAGTAATTTCAGTGGGTCCTGAATCCAAGATGTAAATCCAAGATTTGATCTAAGTAATGTATACTATGTTAAATTCCTCCCAAAGTTAACTCTCATTAAAAATAATAAGATCTATTAGCAACTTTCATTTCAAAGAACTTTATAGATCTGATAACTATAGCCTACAAACAATAAATAACCTGACCTGTTTCTAAAATGCAAATATTTCCGGACAGATTAAACCAGTGTTTAACAGCACACAGCCACATAGTGCATTTTATAATAAGAAGTGAAGAATCCATATCCAATTGAAACTTTGGGGGAAACTGAGAAAGTATGCAATGACACAAATTGGATTTTGGCCAAGAATGCAATTTGTTGGTATGAAACAGGATACTGATGTTCGTCCTTTGCTGCCAGATACAGAGTCAAAAGATAAATTCTTTACCGCATGGGGATCTACTTATTTTCAAGTGTGTGAAAGCCTCTGTGGTGCGTGAAACCTCTGGGGCCAGGGAATTACAGCAGCCACAATCCCTCAGCCTCAGAGGTGCATGGGGTGCCCCCATGGCTGGGAGCCTCTCAAGTGGGGAGGGATCATGCATTAGATCCCATTGTGCCTTTAACTGAATGTGTAGAAGGGCTCTCAAAATAAGAGAGCTAGCGTTTGACACCTCCACAGCGCAGATGTCACTGACTACATAAGGAGAGGCACAGCCACACGCAGACGTTTCAGTTCTACAGGACACAAATAGTACATGCAGCTGGTTATCTAACTTTCCCATGTGCCTTTGACAAGGTGCCTTTACCACAAAGGTGCCTACAGGTGGATTTTTTGGCATCTGTTCGAACATTTTACCCAAGGCAAATTACTGACTCGTGCAAATTAGCAAATAAAGAAACAAATGCCATTTAAAAGGCAAAGAGAATGTGGCACAAAATGTTTGGTTTTTTTTCAATAACATGACAAGTATGGCCATTTCACATTCGGTAGTTGTACAGTGTGAAAATTAGGAACCTTTAGAATTTCAAAATTCACTATCATCTGCTATTAAAACTTTCCTGGGAAACAGAAACCAACATTTTTGGGTGTTAACTATGGGAAGTGCTAATTAATGAAACAGCAAATCAGGGAAATTCTGCAGTTTTGTGTAAACTGCATACACGTGCGCATATGCACGCATGCACGACACATATGCATATTCCTTACCTGTATGCACGCTCCCATCTTCTCATTGCAGAGGCTGCACACTAATGCCCATCGACTGCTGGGAATATGAGAGATCTTTGTTATGGGCTCCATTTTTTCTGGGCTCCCAATACTCACCTGAAAAAAGGTTGTTGGGGAACAATGAAAGTTAAGCAGTAAAAGCAAACCTTTCCATGAGGAATCTCTCGCTGCCTGGTGACGAAGCCAAATTCATGTTCCAGATTCTTCAGTTTACAGAGAGCAGAAAGTCTAGTTTTTAAACAATTTCTTCACCAATAAAAGTGAAATAGCTATAAAGTGAACCTCATCACCTCAAAATGATTTTAGAGAATGTGGATATACCTTAATTCCTGAAGGCTCCAACCTGCCTACCACTCTCTTATTCAATTTCTACAGTTCAGTTTACAAGTTAAAACAGTGCTCACTAAGTTAGCTTTCCTAGCAGTACACCTTTTTTAGGCCTATAAACCATTTGTATTGCAGTTGGCCATACTAATGTAATTAATTCTCTCTCATAAATCATGTACAGTCCTGGCAAACTCAAAGTCCCCTGTGTCTGACTGCAAATAAATATTTCTCTGTTTTATCTTTTGCTCCTGTCTACTGCCTGACAGGAAATACTTTGGGGACATTACAGTCATCATAGCAACACATATCAGATGGGGTGTATTGGAGCAGACTTGGTTTTCCTCGAGAATGCTCCAATCCTGAATATGGGGGCTACACATTCACATTAAAGCTGGTTAGAAACCAGCTATAGAATTGTTACACATTTTTAAGCACTAACTTTATAGCTGGTTGGGTCTTTTTACAGATGGACAGTCACTTGTATCATGTGATAATTACTTTGCACATGTCACTGTTCTACATTTATTACAGGATTAACCAGTTAATTACTTAACATACGTAACATGTGACAGGGGCCTAGGTGCATCAGGTGAATCAAGACCTACCTCTGGTATCCACAGAGCGCAGCTAACATGGACCCACTTAGTCCCACTTCGAGTTGGCTTCATAGCTCCACCTTTCTTGGGACACAGTAAACACTTTGGCTGAACACCAAGTGCGCAGGTCCGGCACAGCCAGCTGCCTTCTGGCACCTTCAGGATTCCATAACATGCCTGCACTCACATTTACACAGAAGGGAAAGGAAAAAGGAGGAAAGGGAACCACAATGAGAACATTATCTTTTTATTAACTGATCTATCTCCAGTCTTTTGCAAGCATCAAGGACTCCATATAATAATATTAACTTAAATTCATGTATAACCTTCCACAATTTTATAACATGAAATGAAGAAGACTATATTAAGCAACTCAAACACAGCAGGAGGAGTTCAGGCAGACAGCTACATGAGCCATCAGCTATCTAAGCTAGAGCTTGGCCAGGTTGTCTAAGCTGAAAAGTACTAGGAGCACTTCAAAGACCACAAGTGAAAAGACCTTGGATTTTCATCTCACTCAAAAGCCGAGACACTGAAATAAAATGTGTCTCTGCCTGCCCTAAGGCAGATGTTCAATACTTATTCAAAGGGGAGAGTACGGCCTATTAAATAACAAACATTACTTCCTACAGAAAAATGGCAGTCTCTTAATGCAGGCCTCTGACCAAACTGCTGACACTTCTGACCCTTTGGAGTTTGTAAGATTTGATCCACTCACATATCAAGGTAGAAAAGCTACAGGCTTATCAAGGGGCCAATTTGCAATTCTCATTTCAGGCCACTCTGCAAGATAAGCAACATTCCACAGCACCGCAGATAAGGGCATATTTCCTTACCACGCATGCAAACGCATTTATATAACCCTTATCCCAAGCAACAACAACAACACCACCACCAACAAAACCAGAAGAAGAAAAACAAAAAAGGCTGCTCTTTGCTTATCAAACATTACAGCTGCCCAAGCACTAAATGACCAAGCAAACATTCTAAGTCTTGGGAACAGACCCACAGCAATGTCTCTTCCACAATATGGAGCAACCAAAGAAGCAGATATATTTTTAAAAATGCATTTATGCCTCTTCCATGTCAAAAAGACTTGTTTAATTTCCACCAGAAGCTGTCACATCATGCTCTCTTGTCCACTTAACGGGTGTCATCAGGTTCCTTATTAAGATAAAGCTATTGTAGGAAACCTGCCTGTTTTCCTACCTGTTGGGTATTTTTCACATTTTCCCTTTTTTATTTATTAATCAAACTACTTAACATTGCAAATATACTGTCCCTCCTCCCCCCACAAAGGAAAGTGGGGGATTTCTTTGCAGTTCATGGCTTTCATATGAAAAGTGAATGGGTAAATTAAAAAAAAGTCATGCATCTCTACAGAACAAAGCATTTTGGGAAAATGTTTAGAAGTTGCAGGGAGCAGTGTCAGTGAGAAGAAAGCAACCAATTATCCACAGAAAACAATCAGCAGGAGGTTGTAAGATATGCAGCCCCCATACTTTATTTTACATCTTACATCCTCCGGTCCATTGGTTTTCCTGTTACAATTTAGCTCTCAGTATGTGACCGACGTATGTAAGCTAACCCAGTCTTTCATTTATGTTCCTTCAAAATATTGCCCATATGGAAAATATTTGCCGTTGGCATAATTAATAAAAATTAATGTCACTTTGGGAAGGAATGTGTCCTGTTATCATTGAACTTGTTTTACCAAGAAGAGTTTAGATGCGTTTCTGCAATGAGCTACCATCTCCCTCCTACTCCTAGCACAAAAGCTGCCCAGAAATTTTTGCTATCTCCACGGGCATACCTGGTGTACACAGATATTGCATTTGTCACAAAACACCATTTCATTGCCATCCTCTCCATCTGGAGACTGGCAAACATCACAGACGACATCCTCATCATACTCGATCCCAAGCCCTTCTTCAGTCTCAATAGCATGGTTCATGTTGTCATAGCATCTCTGTTCAAATTCCTCCATGACTCTTTCCATAGTGTATTCATCCAGTTCAGGCATCCCTGGGAAATGAATCCAACACAAGGGATTAATTTTTAATAGTGTACAACACCTGTTTCCTCTAATCAGTGACTCCTCAATTCTGCAGATAAATTCTAACATATAAAATAAACTGTGGTTTTGGAATCACCATGGTAAATATAGCAAAAAATGTCAAAAACCCTGGAGCTTTAAAGTAATGGAAATGTTCTCACTTAAAAGAACTTTTAAAATCATAGGAAAAGCTGAGTTTTCACAATTGCTCCTATTTCTCTAGCTTATTGCTCCTGATCTCATTTTTCCTCCTTGTTGTACAACATTATCTAGAAGTGTTTGTTTCAACTTTGCAACATCAACCATATCAGGAACTGTTGACTCTTGAGAGTGATTCTAGGGTCAAAGCACTCACAAACGAGCAAAGAGCATTCTGTCAAAATGATGACAACAGTCAAATACAAAATGTACCATATGTGCAACCCAATCAACAACCTGAACCGGACAAAATAGTATTTTATTGGTAGTGGGAAATTTTTATGATGCCTGATCCGAACTAGAATCTCTAGCCAAGAAACAAGTAGTACCAAGATACAAATATTCCAAAAAATATCAGAAGCTCAGCACTAAATATAGCACCCAAATGTCAGATTTTGCACCATTCTGCAGGGCCAGAAATGCTTTCAAGTTGGTGATGCAACTATTTCTACACAACCTCATTACATGGAAACCAGTAATGTATTTGCTACCCCAACGCAATCCTTCTCCCATTCCAATGCTAGTTTAATGTAAGCACTTCCAATCTGAGATAGTCCTGGAAGTCTGCAACACGATATAAATTTTGGGAAAAAAGACCGTTGACAATAACTGATGTTTACTGTGAGATACTGAACAATTTGCAGCCACCTGACAGTCATATGAAGGAGCCAATCCTCTCCTCAACTCTCAGTGTCAATCACTCAGCCATGGGCTGAGATGCTTCAAAGGAAGGTGAAAAAAGAATTACTCACTCCCCCAGATCATAGATTTACAGTATAAATGCCAGTGAATACTCCAGCCAAATAACTTCCCACACCACAGGAAATGGACTGAAGAACGTTTGTCGCAGTGCATGCCCTGCCTGGTTCAGCCCACCCCTTCTCTCAACTGAAGAGCCAGAGGGTAACCACACAGACAGTATCCCAAATTCTGCTTCCCCTTCAACACTTTTATAATGTTCTCTGTACCCTTGAAGCAAAAGAGATTTTGTCCCAGTGACAAAGGAGGAGGTGATGGACTGAAAGATGAGTTAGTACAGCATGTTGTTAAAAAGCAGTTTAACACTGGCACTCAATTCAACTGTAAACTGTTCTATCACCTACAAGACATGCTTAGTTACCTGGAATTTTCTACACAAATTGGTCTATATTGTGATTAAATGGTAATTAAGTTTATAAATGTTAAGGATTTTTTTTTAAGTTTTATCATTTATGTTTGCTCTTTTGGAAAAAGAATATGCATTCTAAATATCAAAAAGCATTCCAGAGAGTGCCATAGTTAACCAAAGGAATTTGCAACTGCAGGTGGGCATCAAATAAATCCTACAGCTGAAGATTAAAAAGCAGCTTAGGTTTCTTTTTTTTTTACTGGCCATAAATAATATCCATAGAAATTAAAATCTGATAAGCGTACTCAAACATCATATATCAGGGTCCTGCATACACTGTCGGCTGGGGAACATACGGTAACTTCCCTCCTGTATAACTGCATGTGTACAGATTTATAGCAAATAAACTAGCAGATCAGTCACAAAAATCTATAATAACAGAATGTTAAGCATCTAAGTAGAACCTGTCGAATCCAGACAGTTCAGTATTAAGGACGAGACTCTGACTTTAAAGGTTCCTGTCTAGGTATTCCATGCTGCTTTAAATCACAGAAGACCAAAATGCATCCCAAGTTTTATCAGTGTGGCTCCACTTAAGTTATAATGGCATTACAAAGAGCTAAATCTGGCCCTAAGTATTTAAGGAAATCTGTAGGAGCTGAGTGCCTAAGACACAGATCTTCCAACAAATGGAATTAATGTCATACTGTACTTTATGTACAGTACTGCTGTAATCTATGCTACAATGTCAACAGCTCTCTTCCTTCCCTGTGGAAAAAGGGCAGGAGACAAAGGTGGAGAGAATGCCTGATTCTCAGACTGTCTACTCTCTTCTTACAGTTTATTTAAATAAAGCTGAATGGTTTTTAAAAATCAGCCTGAAATGTAACTTGAAGCTAAAGTCACATCTTTGGTCTTCCAAATTCATCTCTGAGATTTGGGAAAAATGACCAAGGGTGAGCTGATGGTTTTGTTTGTTGTGTGTGCGTGTGTTGTTGTTTTTTCCAGGAGAAACTTTTAAATGTATATTTGATTTATAAACCCCTTTCTGGCTTGCCAGGTATTCTGACCATGTGGTCCCTGGGCCATGTCCAGGTAAACCTATAAAACTACAACTCTAACCCAAATGAGGGAACTGTCACAAAGTAAGAATTGACAGTATTATCTGTGCCTTCCAATAGCTCCAAACCTATTCCATCTGGCATAATATTTTTTCCCCACATGTAAACGGTGTGGTCAAAACTCTGTCCTGACTTACGTACGTCGTGTCCTGAACAATATCTCAACGAAATCCACAAGGTACTTCCACTTATTCCCTTCTCAAACATACTGCCCCTCCTCAGGGGAACAGAACGCTCAGACTCAGGATGACAAACCATTTTTTTCCTGTTCAGAAACTAAGGACATAGTAGAAGTGTTTGGGAGGTTTTCAAATGAATCACCAAGCTCATTCTTTACTGTGTCACTCACTGAGCAACCTCAGTGGGGCTTCTGTTTCTGAACCTCCCAGATACTTGTTTCTATTTCATTCCTGGCATAAAAATAGATACAGCTACCTAAAAGATGTATGGGAAACAGGAACAAAACAAAAGAATGGGTGGATGAACAGACTCACTACTTGAACAGCCAACTCTGATGCTCTCTAAGGAGATAAATGATGACAGAAAGAGCTCTGTGAGAATTCATATAGAGGGGTGCGAGGGGCAGAAAGTAAAATCTTGGGACCAAGATCTCATCTGGCCTAAAAAGTTGCAAATCTACTGACTTTAAAGGGAGCTTCAGGTCTGACATTCACACCAGCTGTGGTCTGTGGCAACCATGTCACCCTGAGAGTAAGGGCTGGTGTTTTTTAAAAATAAAATCACAAATAATTACATCCTAATGTATACATGTAAAAACTGCTCCCTTCAGTCTTGGCACCGACAAGCCTTCATAACCTCCTGTTTTAAACACAGTGGTGTGTTTAACATGGATAACAAGATGACTGAGAGCTTTTCTCACCCATCTCTTTAAATTCTTCATTGGCCAGTTCCAACCACGCTACATCCACATCATTAAGGTCATAGCGACATACGCTGTCCGCTAAAGTTCGGATGTCAACGTATCCCAACTCAGGAGGCTCAGAACCCGATGAAAGGATGTATTTCCGGGGGCGTGTAAATGTGACTGCTTTTGTCTCGGACACAACTCTGAAAAGGGAGTAAAAAAAAAAGGCATTACTTACCACAGGTCATAAATTACCTAGTCCTATATTGGGAAATCTTAATCCTGCTAAGTGATTAGTACCTAGGGGTTTCAAAAAGCCACCTCCTTATTCCAGGTGGCTAAATATCCCCATTAATCTTCTAGAACTTACTTTGTACAAAGCTGCAAGGAAGAAAGATGGGTACATATAACAAAATATGATACATACACATATATTTTCAAAAGTAACCTTCAGTGCCACCAAAAAAGATAACACTTTTTGAAATTCAAATTCATTAAGGAGACAGACTTCAAGGATTAACAATATGCAGGAGGACATAACATCTCTCAATTACACTGCATAGTTTTGACCAACATTCCTCTTGAATCCCATTTAATTTCTGAAGTTAACTATAATTTTCACCTCTGTGACATCTTAAAGGCCTTGATAATACATAAAATACATCCACTTATCATGTCTAAGACCTGGCACACAGCATTCTACATTTCTTCTACTGCAACCATTGAAGCCAAACTGGCCTGGACTTTAGAGCAAAATTCATCTACCACTTATATAATCAACTACAGGTTAAATATGTTCCAACATGGTTTGGAGGGGGTCTAGTACAATGACCTGCCAAACCACAGTAAATGCTATTCTGGCTGCAAGTATAGTTAAAATGTACATAAGCACACTTGTTAAAGGCTTGACTGCAGAGGCATGGGAGGCAGCAGGACATCTAAAATAGTATAACTAATTCTTCTTTAGTGCCTGGGACACAAGGCCATTAGCAAGGAAAAATGCATATGGCCTGGAGAGGGGCAGCAATCCCTGTTCTAGACACAGGCTGTGCTGCCAGCCGACAGCTTGAGCATGTTTCCAGAAGTGGAGGTAGGTGCCATTTCCCCCTCCACAGCACAGAACTGTGGAGCCTCCAGGAGATGGAGGCTCCACAGACTCCATTTTCTCTAAGCACACTGAGATCCCATTTCTATGAAGAATAATAAAAAATGTAAAGATTATATCTGGAACAGTTCCAGCCAATGCTGACAAAACTGCAGCTGCTAGGGGCCCTCTGTTATGGCATCCTCACCAGCAAGAATATGATTTTACTGCACACACCCTAGCTCCTCATGATACAGACCAGGAGGCAACCTCAGAGACAGCTCTTTGGTGGCACAGGGACGTGAGCTATCCTTTGCTCTACTGCAAGCTGGGGAAAAATTTTTTTTTTTCTTGTTTGTTTAAGAAACCTTGATCCCATAGTTCCATTATCACCAGGGATCCAGGTTTTCCATTTCCCACAGAAAAATGGAAAAAACACAGATTTTCCCTTGTATCCAAGAGAAACACAGATTTTTCATTTTAACAGAGAAATACTCAGATATTCCAGTTTTGCAGAGTTGTCTGCAGGCTGGCAGAGTTCCAGCCTGGAAGGGGCTGGGGGGAGCGGGAGAAGGGCGGTCAGGCAGGGGGCACCATGTGCATGTGCACTCTCACACATGCACCTGGCCACCATGCAGCCTGGAGAGCAGCTCCCACGGGTAAGTCTGGCAGAGAGAGAGGGAGGAACGGAGGGAGGGAAGGAGTGAGCTAGGCAGGGGCTGAGGCTGTTGCCCAGCTGGGGTGGTGCATGGGACTCAGGGCCTGGGGCCATTTGTAGCCGCAGGGCCCCAGCGGGGTGATGGCACAGAGTTGTGCCCCTCGCTGCTGCTGGTCGGACAGCGGGTACCTTGCCATGGTGGCATGGCACTCCTGACGGTGGCAACAAGCTTCTCCACATGGCCTTGCTCTGCCATGCCACCTGAAGGGAGAGCAGCAGAGCGGGGAGCCTGAGCCCACAGCGGGCAGTCCGCACTCACCCCCACCCTCCCTATGAGCTCTGCTCTGGCCGTGCCACCCATGGGGAAAGGGGAGCTGGGCTCCACTCCACTGCAGCAGCTGCCGCCTTCCATGGGCGGCAGCTGGGGCTCAGGCACTGCTGCGGGGGGCAAGGGCTGTACACCTGGGTGCCTGGCCCCGTAGCCCTGGCAGCTGGGGGTCCCCTCCTGGTGAGGCTCTGGGTGAAGAGTGAGGGGCACCGGCTGGGCTGGGGGCCTGTAGCTTGGGAGTGAGGGGCCTGGACCTGAGTCCTGGTGAGCGAAGGGGGAAGAAGGAACTCCAATTTTCCATGATACAAAACCTAAAATCAAATATCAAAATTTAGAGGTACTTAGAATTTATTTTATTATAGTGATTGAGGCTCTGGTAGGCTTTCAAATTGCTTTGAAGTGGTAAATATATCAACAAAACATTGTGTTCAGTTGATACCTATATATATAGTGGAGTTT